TTAAAGTTCTATACATCGAAAAAAAAACGCCCCTTACAATTTAAGGCCCAAACCGTTTTATATCGATGGCGTCGTGTCCTACAAAGTTGCCGCGCCACGTTAAATTGCGAAGAAACGCCTTTAAAGACGTTTCTGCTCGTAACCTGAACGGACATGCATCGGCCTCGCGTGTCTTGCGAAAATCGAAAGGATATACGGGGTGGTCGCCATCTCAAAATATAAAAGCATCGGCTAGGTTAGCGATAAATGCTTGACGCTTTATAAAAAATAAAAAAGATATTTAGATTCGTTTTGATTGGCGCCATAATTAAGTCGAACGCTTCAGTTGGGAAGTCGATTTTTTAAATTAATTGACTGTTTTGCCCACTAATTGCGTGCAGCTGGTCCAGCGAAGATGAATCTTCGAAACACGGCCCAAATATGCTTCAGTGGGCAACCCCTTTGACACGAAGAAGCGTTCATGGGTGGTAATGTTTTGTCAGGACATTGTAAAAACTAGCGTTCCTGGTCGGGTCAAGGTTAGAGTTCACTTTGCTTATAGTTGGCCCAGCGTGTCAGCCTTCTCGCCTTCTCCTTGCTCTTAATGACTAAATGAACATACCATGTTACGAAACGAAATTTAGGCTGTATCAATTGTCGGTGAGGCATGGGCCGAGTAGGCAAGTGAAACTCAATTTCCAAAAAACACTTTATTCAAAAACCAAGAGGGAGGAGGGGCTGAGACTGAAGAAAAGTAGCTTACGCATTATTTTCTGTAAGTTTCACATTAATTAAAAACTACCTGTGTTACTAGGGGCGTTGGGCGCGTAGGTACTTATCTGTGACCAGTCTAAAGTCGCTTTACTCTCGGCACTGCTATTTGCCTGCTGCTACCATATACAAATTTGTTCCACCAGGGGCTGAAGCTCTGGTGGGGCCTGATTTGCGGCCGCGGCCGTGCGTGGAAGTAGTCCAAAGAAAGTGGGCATTAAGCCCCAGGAGTGAAGTGGTTAAAACAATATGTGGTCCAGCGAATCGTGCAAATAGTATACGGGAAGTCAAAAGAAAAAAAAAGGCCTTAAAGATAATAAATGAGACATTATTACGGGTCGACAGCGCGATAATAGTAAGTGGATGTGGGGTGGCCTTATAGGTTGAGCGTTATCTTGGAAAACCTCTCTCCGCTAAATCCGACCAAGCCGAGGGTACAAACGACCACGTCTGTTTACCCGCTTATTTCGGAGATCAAGGTTACTTGTTTCCCTCTAAATCCGCAATACGCGTGAGCTTTAAGCGACTCCTTAGAAAACAGCGGACAAGGGAAAACCTACAGGAAGCACGCTGCTTACCGGCGGGAAAAAGAACACCAGGACCGCAAAAGAAAGAACGGAAGGGACCAGAGAACAACAGCTAGCAATTCCCTGGTCAATGCTTTAATTTCGCCTTGGAAAAATAACGTTATTCACGACCAATTGAGTTATCGCGAGTCTGTGACCACCACCCGTTCCGCGCATATGCTACACAGTACTATGCATCAGCTGTTTTGGTTTACTTCAAAACAAATAATAAATTTTCACACAAGAGGGGACATTGTGTTCTAGCACCGAAATGAAAAAGAATGAAATATGACCTAACAGGTCCGCACTTTGCTTAGAATTTAATTATTTGGGGTTTTGTTAGGAAAGATGCTAAACAATATTTATTTATTTATGTATGTATTTATGTTTAAATCTAAAATAAAATTACAAATTATTTTTATTACCTACTTAAATTACTTAAAATTATTCACAAAATATATCAGTATCACTATCGCTATCATCGCCTGTTCTAATTACTATTTGCTCTATATTATTTGCAATATGGATATACGACTGTTCTGCTTTTTCTATATGTTTAACAGAATTTGCCCAACTTTGTGGAGGGATGTTAAAAATTTCGGTTTCTATAAGTTTGAGGACATTGGAGTTAACACGGGGAAAAACATTGTTACAACTAATGGCAGATTTCAGTTGCTGCCAAACATGTTCAATGGGATCAAATATACAGTGGTAAGGTAGAAACCTTAAAACTCTATGTCCTAGATTTTTTGCATAATTATCACATCGTATTCCTTTTGTAGAACCTCAATTAATTGCTTTTTGGTATAATCTTTGTGAAAATAAATGTCGTTATTATACATGTAGTTTTGGATTGTTGCTTTTGTGTCACATGAGGAAGGGGTTTTAGTCAACTGTCTACTGTGATAACTTGCATTGTCCATTACAATGACGCTATTAGGAGGAATGTTTGGAACTAGTTTGTTTTTAAACCAACTTTCAAATAAACCAGCGGTGGTGTGTTCATGGCAATCCAGAGAAGAATCTTTAATATTTTTCGCAGACAGCGAAAGTACATTTGGAAACCAACCATCTTTAGAGCCCACATGCCAAATAGTTATTCTTTTACCTCTTTTTGATAGCGCGTTTGTTTTACACTTATCAGTTGAGTCAACCCAACTTTTCCGGGGTATCATAAGTGTCAAACCAGGTTTCATCCAAATAAATAATTGGCCTTTGTTGTTCTCTGTAAATCCTATTTTTTTCTAGATATTCCAGTCGCCATATCCCAATTCTAAAAGATTCCATTAAAACTTGCCTTTTGTCAATTTTTTTAAATCTAAAACCCATGTGTTGAATACACTTCCATAAGGTAATTCTGCCACATTTAACACCGGTTTCATCTTTTTCAAGCCTCCTAATTAAGATATCTAATGTAGGCACGCTTTGTTCCTCGTACAACTGGTAAATTCTACGCCGTACTATATCTTGATCACTTTCATCTACACTCGAGAAAATGTCAGCATCGCTTCTTTTTTTCCCTGAAATGGGATTATTCGCAATTTTCCATACAGTTGATGTTGAAATTTTCGTCAATGTGGCCGTTTCTCCTAAAGATGCTTGCTTGCTGGCCCCACGTTCAGAGAATCAAATAAACATTGTTTATAACTTCCTTAGTCTCAATAGAATAGTGTTTTCTACATTTGGGCGGGAGCATCTCCTGAGATTCGCTAGACTCGCACATATTTTACATAATTCGCACACGATTCAACACAGGTTGTATTACGCACGAAATAAGAATGATTACTAATAAACTTAAACTAAATAGTATACCAAACAAAAGGTATAAAATTATTTTCTATTACGGACCACAATTTTAGCTGAATTTAAATTCCGAAATTTTAGGTAACAATTTTGTTGCATTAATGTTAATGACCACCCTTGGAGAATCCCATTCAAAAGCAATTGGTCACTTTCTTATATCTATGAACAGACCATACCACAGTAAAGATCGTTATTATCTGCCCAAGGTTTGTAGCATTTAAAATTCGTTTTAAATTGGGCCGGAACCCATCAAAATAATGCACTCTATAGCATGAAATTTGATTGAGCGTAGCGGTTGTCACAGTTTAGTAAGGCCCATCAATCTACAATCAGCCTCCCCCAAAGGGCAAAATGAAAAGAGTAATGGCGCACAAACAAAAACAAAAAGAAAATCGTAACCACCACAGTGTTAAACTTTGCCATTCTCGTCAATATTCCTTCACATTTCTTTCTATAAGAGCTCCGTCCTTCTAGAGGTCAGTCGTTTGTTTGCCATGTTTTAGGCATTATACGACGATTCGTTTGAATGCCTTGTTAGTTAGGGTCTACTCCAAAGCCACAATCCGCTCGCACTGCGTAGCTTCGAGGCACCGGCGGCGGTGGCGGCGGCGTCGGCTGCTTCCCAAATAAGAAATAAAACGGCGGCCGATGATCCAGCAGATAGAAGACAACAAAGGGAAACGGATCGAAACCGCGGCAATATTTCCCCTATTGTAAATAAACCCAGACCGAACCATAACTCTCGTGTTACGTTCGGAACCGTGGACATGGTTCTGCATCATTACCGACCGCGGCATATCTCCGTTCCTCTATTGTTCGCGTATCGGTCATTTCTAGAGGATATTAAGCCCCCATTAAGTAGCGAAATGGAAGAAACCCAAGCGGCCCGACGACGACGGCGAGGAAGAAAAAATCGTTCCTCGTTTGCTCTTCCTAGGTCTGCCCTGGCTTTTTCCTCGCTTATTAATATCTGATTAGTCCTTTTGTCTTTGGAGATCGCTTTCGACTCATTGATACCACAGATGCGCTTCCATTGATAGCCGTCCATGCGCCACGGGACGATAATTGCGCTCCCACCGGCGTACCGCAGATACATTATAATTAAATATTTTTCTATTTTTCCGCTGAGGTACATGTTGCAAGTCCGGCAATTTTCAAATTGCTCGTCAATTTACGCGTTTCTCTTTCTGTGCCGGGGGTATCGCAACGTGTGCGCAATGTAATTCCGGCAGGTATAGGGTGGAGTATCTAATATCTGATACGGTTGTACACATAATGGAAAATTTTTATTCCGCTTCCGAGGCTTACATACCGCCCTCAGTTAGCTTATTCGCAAAAAGGAACTTACCGGATCCATTCGCGGCGTGATAATTAATTACTCGCTTGTCCGTATAATTACCGCGCGTCCATTAATTACAATAATGAGAGGAAATCTAATCCGAATACATACGTAATGTACACAATGCCGTGCGTGCCACTTACGGTTGCTAATCTTGCATCTGGGCAATTATTTTTTGCTAACAGTTTGACCCGAAGCCGTGCCAGAGTTGCGAACGTCAAACTTTTCGTGCCTTTCGCAATTTCCGATCGTGGGAGCGTTAATGTGGTCCGCTAGACGTCCGGTCTTAAACCGGCGTGCTTTTTACCTATCGAAAAACTGTCATTTTACGCCAAACTTACAACACGATCTTTTGCTCCTGCAGGTTTGTGAACATAAGCTTACAGCTTGAATAATTTACGGCACTTTCTATAAGTTGGCACATGTTGGGAGATTTTTTTAGATAGTCTTCCTTTTTGAGTCTTTATTGTTCATTTCCCAGAAATCCCTACTCGCACACCCTACTCTCCCAGCTTGAAAAAGTTTTAGAGAAAATCACTTACCCGGTAAGGCGTCTGCATTGGAACCGAAAAGAACGCACAAGCCCGTCTCGTAATTGACAGATTGGCAGCTCTCGTTGCCTTGGCACGTTTCGAGACAATCGGTCAGCATCAGGGTACCGGGGATCGAGTCCATAACGTTTCCAGGCGCGGAAAACACGTACCCGGTTATCAGTTCGAACCTGTCGTTAAAGTTGTTACGTCAGGGGTATGTCAAGAGTCGTCGCAATGCGTACAAACTCACCCTATCATTTCCGAGTCGCAGTCGTCAAGCGGCGACGGAGGCGGAGCTCCGGGGGGTTGTTTTTCGGGAGCCTCGATGATTTCGACGTCGCTATCCGAATCGAGCATGCCGTGTTGCGCTTCCTGCTGACAGCAGACGAGCGAAGCGACTAGCAGGATCACCAGCGATTCTTTGATGTAGAACATGTCGGGTTTCGAACGTGGCACCTGGAATTTTAATTATTTAGTAATAATTGAATTACTTCTTAATGTAGTCCGCAGTTTGCGTATTATAGACGCGGAATATCTTCCTGCATAATACAAAATGGCCGAGCGATGGGTTTCCGTACAGAAATAATTAGAAATCTTCTACTTCGGCGAAGTTCTTAATTAACATTGGCGCGTTAATTTGAAGAAGCCGTTATCGCGCTTTAAATATTTGCATAATCGGCGGTTTTAATTGAAATTGTGCCATACCGTTGTTGACGCTCAAGGTTATCGGATGCCAAACATCTCGCGTCGGTCAGTTGACATTACTCGTTACAATACGACCAAAAATATAGTGCATTTATTGCTTCGACGTTTTAATTATTTTGCAGTACCTTAACCTCACACCTTCGCAGGTAAAACCCATCCCAATAGATGTTTATTCTGCATTAAGTAGGTCTTGCGTGAGATGGACCTTAACGAATATTTGTAGAAACTTGAAATTTTTATTTGAAACGTAAATGGACCGTTTTACCTTTGATTAAGCATTGATGCTGCTGGGCGTTTTCGAATAAGATGATAAATAAATTGCAATATTTTCGTATATATTACGGAGGTATTTGACTGTGATCCTTCCACTATGTACGTATTTATGTACCTGATTCTCGAGCTTTAACCCTGCGCGGCTGTTTTCACTGGATGGTTTAAAGGGTAAGGTTATGTGTCTGTTCTCTATTTATCTTACAGGTAAGTTTGAAAATAATCATTTTTGCCTTGTGTACCTATCGATTAACAACATTTTTCTTCTTGTATTTTTGTGTCTTCTACATAGTTCTTCGATTTGTAAACAACAGTCTTTTTTAAACCTAGATTATATTCGCGGTAGATAGAAGTGCGTCATAAGAATACATACAAACATTTTTTGAAGATTCCTGTTTTTTAGTACTTTAAAATGTTAAAATTTGAAGGCGAAGTGGAGATGGTAGTCAAAACTAATGACAATGTAGAACACGAACTACCTCAGCAAATAAAACAACGTATCCATTTGTCTTCGGATTAAACAAAATTTTTTGAATTTTTACAATTTTATAAGAAACTCAGAACGGGAAGTAGGAGCAGCAATAAAGACAAGTACCGAAGTCAACTGTAAGAAAAATTATTGCAAATGGGGTTGTTGGGGCTTTTACCCCTCAGGGTTTTGGTTAGGTATGCGAAGGGCGAGTTTTGAGCACGACATTTACCCGGTGGTGGTGTAGTGCTAATAAAAAAATGTCATGTGCGTCAAATTAGGCCAGTTGTCTTTAGCATGCGCGCGTTCACTTTTTCTTGCCACAGTTCGTGAGGTACTGCCCGTACTACCGAAAACTTTTTCTTCGCCAGAGTGCGCTTCGGTGCTGGTTCAAAAAGTAAAAGAAAATCGCACATAGCGGTCCCGCGAGAATATTAATTATCGCGATAATAAAAAAAATGATGTAATTATCTACCTAAAATTTCCAAAATAATTCTCTTGGATTTAAATAATCCAATTTTAAATAACCGAAATATTTCCTGCGAACTATGAGGGAGAACCCGAACAGGGGAATATGAGAGAAGATGCTGGTACTTGGCGAGCTGTTAAAGAGTAACACGCAGATCTAATTAGGCGTATAATCTACGACTCTTATAAAGTAAATAGTGTTTCAACCTTAGAAAGGGATTGCCAGGTTTAAACATTAGTTGTGCCAAAGAGTCGTTGCGTACTTTTTTGAAGAAAATTATATTTAATATTTTGTATATTAATAATAATACTATGTAGATGGTCACGAGTAAGGGTCTGCTCGGCAAGGTGTTCTGTAAGGGGCTACGGTTTTGGAGTAATAAACAGTAGGCACAGTTAATCACGGGGTCGGTTGTAAAAACACTATATTTCTGGTTGAAGTATACACGTTCAGGTTAAATTGAGAATTTCTTCGGTCGAGCAAACCCAACTTACAAGTTTGATGTTTGACCCCTCTTTACTGTCTTATGAGACGTCACTGGGGAAACAATTTAAAACAATTAATTTGCAAATACTCATGGAATTTGCTTAATCGTTTGTGTATATCTATGAGAATTTCTCTACACGAAACAAATAAGATATAAATCTCTGTACTGAGGTACTCAGCCAGAGTTATCAAATGACACTCATTGGAAGGAGTCCATTATCAACCATATTACAATTTATCTTCATATAATTTCGAAATACTCATTTCTCTATAGGTAATTCCTGACTATTGCTTGTGTGAAATTTTTGGAACCCAGAAAAACGTTCACCCCGGACCAGATGGCGTTTTGACGGGCAAAAAAAAATAGCCCATACAATCGGATTTAATTTTGTATTAACGTTAACGCTCTTCTAGTTAATGTTACATTTTAAATACCCCATAGTTCCATTGACGTTCCAGCGGAACAAAGCTCTCGTATCGCTCGTACTGAATCTGATTAATAACCATCTCCGGCGATGTGTAATTAATCTAAGTCGGATTTGTTTTACGGCACGGAGCTTCACGGAAAACCATTTCATATTCTATGAACCTATTGATTAGGACGTAAGATATAGTGGTGCCTCATCAACGTGGCGCAAAAAAAATATATATAAGCGTCTCAGTTCTCACACTTCGCAACAATAGGTTCCACGTTCGTTTGCCCCCCCCCCCCCTTTACACGCCCCGTCAATCGGAAGAAAACGAAAACAATTATTGTTTATAACCGCGATTAAAGTGAGAACTTAATTTGGTTTTACGACTTGAGAATGGAATAATCCCTGGGCGCGTGTGTGCGCGTTTTAACAGTTCCCGGCAATTAATGACGGCGTCGCAAGTTCAATGACTGTTTAATAATAACGCCTGGGAAAAAAGTTTTTTTTTTATTTTACTATAAATGCGGTTTACGGATAATCTTTTTAAAACCCGTAACCATTTTTCGCTCACCCGGTATAAGCGACGCGTGAATGGTGGTGCAGTCTTAGTAAAAGTCAGCCAGTATTTGACAGTCCATACGTGAGTTTTTGTTTTTTGCAATGAGTTTATTTGTTTATATTTTTCACCACTTCATATTTTATTTAATAGTATATTTTCGAGGAGGATTTCAGTGTAAACAAAATTTATCACTTCTACAAGTATTAGATATTTACTCTTTATTTTACTTACATTTTTGCATAGCTATTTTTAATAGCCATTGGATTTATCAATATACTTTTGGAGGACAATAAGAAAAATAACATCAACCACAGGAAAAATAATATCCAAGAATGGAATAGGATAGAATCATTTATTCACATTGGGTGTTTTAAGGCTCACACAAATAACTGTAATAGAAATATAAAACACATAATTTTTTTATTTCAATACGACTTCATAAAAAAATATTGTTAAATTGTGAATAAGTTCTAAACATGTTAATGATATAATTACACTCATATCTTAAAGCTCCTAAAAGGATAAAAACAGAAAATCTATACAAATCTTATTTGTTTATTTGTTTATATTTTTGACCACTTCATATTTTGTTTAACGGTATATTTCCGAGGAGGATTTCAGTGTACACAAAATTCTCACTTCTATTAGATATTGACTCATTGTTCCACTTAAATTTTTACATAGCTAATTTGAATAGCTATTGGATTTATCAATATACTTTTGGAGGACAATAAGAAAAATAACATCAACCACAGACAAAATAATATCCAAGAATGGAATAGGATAGAATCATTTATTCACATTGGGTGTTTTAAGGCTCACAAATAACTGTAATAGAAATATAAAACACATATTTTTTTTGTTCCAATGCGACTTCATAAAAAAATATTGCAAAATTGTGAATAAATTTTAAACATATTAATGATATCATTACACTCATATCTTAAAGCTCCTAAGAAGATAAAGACAGAAAATCTAAACAAATATTTAATCATATTCCATAATAAATTAATATATAAAAAACTCACAGTCAAAATTTAACCCATCTTGAAAGATCATATCGAATATTTGGAAAAACTAATTGCATTTCAGTTTATTGATTTTGTCGTAAGTAACCGTATTTAGGTTCCTATATAAAGATTTCATTCGAAACTTTATAGTTTTTATTTATTTTTTGTTCAACCCTTTTGGATGAATAGTGGTCATCTTCTATCCAATGTAGAAGTTAATAGAAAAAATGTTCCTTTTTTACTTAACTTTTTTTTGGTCAATACAACATATCAGGCTGCGGACTTGAAAGATATATTTTTTTTATAAACTTTGGAATATAGTTCTGGAGAACTTATCTTCTGACTCAGACGTGTATTATCACAAATTTTCTCTTAATTACTTCCAGAATCCCTTTACATTACATAATTACCACGACTATGCACAGTAGACATAATGCAATAACCCCCATCCGATTTTTCTGACACTTTTTAGTTTCTGCGAAAATTCAACCGATTCAGAGGATGTTTTGGAGCAAAATTTTTCGTATAGTCGCCTCGGAATCATGAGAGGGTAATAAAAGCGGATCATGCCGAGATAGAAAACATTTCACTGGCAAGAGAATGACGTTCACGCGAGGATGTCGATTTTATTACCATCATCATAGGCGTTCGTTAAGGGGATTATACCCGAGGTGGTCTTAGTAGGCTTTAATCTGTACATGCAAACGGATTAAAATTTGCAATGAAAAATTAAGAAGCTCTGCTTAATGAGATCAGTTCGACTCCATAATATGCAAATTTTTTATTGCCGTCTGATTACCGCCATTTAGGTTTGAAAGGAATTCTAAATTCGTGATTTTTAATTAAATTTAATTTTCAACTTTATAGGAGTTGGAGAAACACCGCGGAAAATCATAATCACACCATAAGGAAATACTTATTTTTATTTAATTTATTTAAGATGCTGCAAATGTAGTCCAGGTAATTTATTAATAACTCCAAAAGGGGCAAAATAAGTGGCAACCACCCTTTGCCGACGCACCTGTACAAAATATTATAATTTTCCATTTTTATTCGGACCTGAATGTTGTTTTTC